GCTTGGGACTGTTCGGTTCTGGTGGCGCGCGATCGACGTAGAGACGTTCATCGACTCCGGAGGCTCGCGATCGGCGCAAAGGGCCCTCTGGTAGACATTGTGGGCCCGGGCCGCAGCGCCGGGATCCCTAAGGCGATCTCCGCCGAGCCCTTCGGGCCCTTCGGAGCCACGAATCGGGTATTTGATGTTGTCCCCAGAGCCCTAAGGCGGAGGGAGGGGGGGGGGGGGGGGCAAGTGTCCTTGTACATCTCCTGCGTGCGCTACTGGAGGCATCTGGGCGGTCAGTGCGACCGTTGAGCGACCAGGGTATAAGAGTAGTTTCCCGGTTTTCTGAGCGTCCGTAGCCTGAAGGGTAACAGAGATCTAAGTATTCGTAAGGCCCCTTAAATACCAGTGTACCCCTGGCGGCTGGGACGTCCCGACTGAGCGGCCAGAGGGGACCCACGAGTTTTCCAGAGGGGGCTTCCTGGGCTGGTAGACGCTGCTACGGTATTGTATTAACTTGTATGTGGCAATATTTTTTGCTCTTCTCATTCAGTATGGTCATTTTTTGGGCTTCACGGTTCCGAAAAGAGTTCCTCCCGGGGGGGGGGGGGGCGCCTCAACCCCTCGGCCTTCTCCCCCCCTTAAACAGCCAAACCCCAATACATGCTTCAGCGAAGACTTAAGACCCCATGCATTTCCCGATTGGGGCTGAAGGGTCGTTCCGTCCCCTTTCTCATTGCCTATCGGTCTCTATTGAGACGCATGATGCATCGGTCCCCTCTCTGACGCCGAAGGCCCTCTGACCAGAATGACTGACTCTGGATCAACGTGGGGCGAGTCACCGACCCAAAAGGTCCCAAGCGTAGCGGGTATGATAAATGGCACAGGGATCCCGGTTCGACGCATTTAAGCCCTAGAGAAACGGGCAGAGGGACCCTGCCCGGTACTGGCCCCTGACTGACACGAGGCTCTTCCATTTAGGCGCCTGTCAAGAAGGAGGAGAGGGGGAGGGGGGGGGGGGCGGCTCCGGTCCAGCACGAGCGAGATTCCGAGATTCCGGGATGTCTGACATGCCCGGATGTCCGGTCCGCCGGGATGTGTACCGCGGCGAACAGTGTGAAACCCAGTCAGGGGCCTCGGGCTCTGACGCGAAAATGGCGGCGTGCCCGACTGAGCTGGCAGCGTTTCGACCACGGACGGGCCTCGCGCGCATGTGGTGGGGCTCCGTTCTCGGGCGAGGGACGGCGCGTGCCTGAACTGCGTTCTTCATTTGGCGGCCGGGCTACCTCGTCCGCCGGCCCGCCGCGGGCGTGGCTGCCGTCCGGACCGTCGAGCTGGGCAGCCTCTGGGATCACCTGTGTGTCCGAGCTCCGCGTCCAACTGATTGCACACTATTATTTCACATGCATACAGTGATTGAGCGGAAGCATTGTCTGTGAATTTGGCCGGAGGCAGTTTGTTTATCGGACGGGCTGTAATGCCGATTGGGGCTTTACGCCTCACCGGCTGCCGGGCTATTTCAAGACGAAGCGTCTCTATCACGTATTTATCAGGCGTTAGGTGCGTGGGATCCGGTAGTGGTGTGGCCAAGACCTCATTCCATGATAGAAAAGTCCAGAGATGAGCACCCTAACCACTCACCACCATGCCACCATCGCCCCTCTGCGGCGGATCTTGCTCTCGTCTCGATAAGCTCCAGACTAGTGTTGCTGGACCCTCAAATTCTATAATTAGGAGGTTCTAAAACGTAAAAAGAAGAAAGCATGTCAAGATTGATGGAGTGGATGGCGAATGCAAGCTCACAATTTTCTCAATTCATCCCGCTTATGTATCGCAAACCAGCTCAGTGACATACACTCGGCTCCGATGATCAGATCTGAATCAACAGCGCCTTCAAGCGCGGAACGTGCGCTGTGTTTTGCATGACGTCTGGCAGGCAGCTAAATACATTTGCAGTCAACGTTTGTCTCTTTTCTTCCTCTTTACTTGCAACCAGGAGGGCGGCTCCCTGTTCAGTTGCAGGCGTTTCTTCCCCGCCGTTATTTGGGCTGCAGCTTGCAGATTTGAGAAAAAGTGAGCCAAGTTTGAAAAGAAACCAGCTTGGTGGCATATTATCACGGTACTCTCTGTTTTTTTCATCGCTCAGCCTATCAACATGATTTGGGGAAACCGCGCCCCGTTTCGAACGTACCTAATTGAAGAGACGAATTGTTTGTTGACTGGGCCATTGAACGTCTCTCACCAGGGAGTAGTATCCGGATTCAGCTGATGAGACAGTCCCCACCCCCTCTCTTTGAGAATAAGCGTGTAAAATTCGGAATAAGCCCTGTTTTCAGGAGCGTGTGAAAGAACTTGCGATTGGCGGGAGGGAGGGGAAACAGCCAAATATAATCACTAACAATGTAGGCAAGCGTGCTAAGAGCTGTATATCCGCATGCGCGCCTACCTAGCGCAGTCATCAAATCAGTCAGCATAACACATCAGTCAGCAATTCCCTTAAAAAATGAGTTGCGAATCATCACCAACACACACAGTAAATAACGGAGCCAAATACCACGGATAATGTTATCCATGGCTCCCAATACCAAACAGCAGGTACCCCGACATCTGCTTTCCACGATTACCGTGCAGCTACTGCCGAATAACCAGCTATTTCCGATGCCACGAGCCAGGGATCAAAGTTTTGAATTATTTAATGAGCCTGCTGCCAAGGGCGTGCTAATGCGGCAAAGTTTGTGTGCTCAAACAAAGCGTTGTCCATATCCATGCACAGTGGTTTAACTGGGCGGTAGTGTACCGCGTGACGTTGCTCGTCGGCGAAGACGGGCAAAATCGGCTGCGGTAGCCCCCTATCGGGCAATATCTGAAACCTCAGGTTAAGGGTTGCGAGGAAGTGGGACAGGATCCCAACCCGTGGATCCTCACGCCTGTCGGACTTAATGAACGCTAGACATTTTGAACCCTTGATGCTGCGGTTCTGGACGCTGCGAGCCTGGACTTTCTGATTCTCCTCGGTCCAAGGGTATTGGACGGCTTCTGGATGTTGTTAACGCTGGATGCTGCGATTCGGGACATTTTGCCCAATAGACGATGCGAGCTCCGGACGTTTTAATACACATCCGGGGGATAGGGTAGAGAGGTGAGGTTAGGTTAGGTTAGGTTAGGTTAGATTAGGTCAGGCCAGGTCAGGTTAGGTCACGTTACGTTACGTTACGTTACGTTATGTTAGGTTAGGCTACGTTACGTTAGTTCAGGTTAGATTCTGGTCTATTCTGTTCTGTTCTACCCTATTATGATTTCATACACTTACTTACACACAATACACGCGTTGGACACCGCAAAGAAAGTCCGTTTACAGTCGGGCCTTGTGGCGTTCTATCATTATAAGCTTATCAAGATCATTGCACTATTATTACGTTGTCCCGTACATTTTTACGGTTTTGGTGTGCCGTTATGTTGTGACCACGCACCAATAACGTAGCAATGACGCCTGGTGTCGCGGTTGTGTATTTGGAGCGCACGGACGTTTGATATGGTAATTATTGAACTTCGAAAGCAAGCGTAAAGATGTACGTGTTTTATAATGATTTACGATATGTTCTGCCTTGAAAACGACGATTAATGCAGAATGTTTTTTTTAAAATAAGGTATATATATATATATATATATATATATATATATATATATATCTATCTATCTATCTATCTATCTATCTATATATCTATATCTATATCTATATGTATATGCATATGTATATGTATATGTATATCTATATGTCATCACGGGACTAAATCGTATGGCACCAACGCTACGGCGGAGTGAAAACGCTGTTCTTTGCACGCCAGTTTAAATATAAACGTCATATTAACATATATATATATATATATATATATATATATATATATATATATATATATATATATGAATACGCGTGTGTGTGTGCGTACAAGCAGTGTATTCGCCTATTGACAACACGCCACAACCACATGCATATCCTATTTACTTTGCACGTCGTTCCAAATGCGTGATGCACCAGTCCCGCCCTCAAAACAAAACAAGACGAACAAGCGGTAGGTTTAAGATGATCATCTACTTCTTATCTTCGGCATGGATTAACCTGGAGGTGGACGGGCAGTATGCACGAAAGCTGACGCAGCTTCTTTGCTGTCAGTGACATGTTCTGGCCTTTGGTGATGCTCGGGTGCGTATTCGAGCTGTTGTCGAAAATGTCACTTCATCATTCTTCGCCCGTTTGTGAGCAACATTACATGAAATTTATCGCCATGCAAACCTGATGTTGCACCTATTCATAGTTGCAAAACCTAGTCACGCTGCAGCCATATGTTGGTAAGTGTAGCAAAAATGAGTTTCACACGGTAACATTTATTCATGGTCTGGTTGCGACAGTTTGTCCTCACACCTTCGGTCATACAGATAGGACTGTAAGCCCAAAATTAAATAAGCGACCTTGAGCGTTGCGTTCATTTAGAACGCAGTCCTCTGAAAAAGAGGCAAGGAAGAACTCCCGGATCAAAAACGAAATCGGCCAACGCGGCGTAAATATTCAACCGAATAGCAGCAAACGCGGCAGCGAGTCCACCTTTTTCTTCAGAGCTCAGCAGGCCCCGAACCATCGCTGTAACATTGGACGCCTGGCGAGGAATTCGGCACACAGATGACAGAGCTCCGAGCCCCCCACAGCAAACAGGCGTACCTAACGCCCCCTCGACCTGAGCTACCCCCCCCCCCCCCTCCCCCCCCCCCACCCGACCTGAGCCAGGCGGCGAGGCGCTCCACCCACACCGCAGTCCGTTCACTGTCGCGCTCCTCTCGCTCCGCTTCCGCGTGCGCCGACAGCCGCGGCACCGCGGCACCGCGGCTTACTCGGCAACTCCGCCGCACGCACGGCGCGTTCACTGCACACAGCGCGCAGTTCTGACCGGCGCGCGCGGCACCGGCTGCGGGGCGCGGGCCTGACCGCTGGCGTCCGCCGGCCAGGCCAGGCCGCTGGCGTCCGCCGGCCGGGCCAGGCCGCTGGCCCACCGGGCGTCCGCAGCGCATCGGTCCCGCCTGCAACACCACCGCCGGCGCCGCTACTCGGTCTTCTGCAGGGCGGCAAGCCGCTGCAGCAGCGGCGGGTGCGAGTGGTGCCAGGCCGAGTACAGCCGGTCGTACACGGGGAAGCTGAGGTTGTCGGCTGTCAGCTTGATCAGCGCCGCCTTCAGCAGCGCCGCGTACCTGGCGGCAGCAAGCCGGCATCGTCAGTGGAGACGCCGGCTGGTCCATAATGGCGCCGACGCCAAAGACCTAGGCCGCGACAGTATCGGCCGCTCAGTATCGGGCATGACAATTTTGAAATCCCCTGGGTCACGTGCTCTGCATGTTCATGCACCAGCTGACCGAGCGGTACTCAATTAAGCTGTGTATCACGTTATCCCGCCGCGATGCGGAGCCCCAATGGCGCGATCAGACGTCAGACGCGGCCCATCAAGCAGCGGCCGCCCACACACAAACGCCACGCCACCTCACACTCACCCGAGCTGCTTGCCGAACTGATCGGCCTGGAACTCGAACCTTCGCGACATCATGGTGACGAGCACGCTGAAAAGGGTGCTGTACGGCGCGAACACGTGCTGCAGGATGATGACCAAGCCGGCGATGACCGGCATGGACTGGCCGAAGCCGAAGGCTCGGTACAGCGGCTGGTAGCGGTACAGCGCCGCGAACACCACGAATGTCAGCAGCAGGTTGATCTGTGGCAGCGGGGGAGGAACTGACGTGGGGCAGGTGGCAACGACGTTGGCTCCCTGACGACGGAAGGCGGATCACGCGTGCTGATCGGGGATACGGCGATAACACGCCCGGTATGCCAGAGACACGTTTCGGGAGGTCTGGCACCGTGCTTATGGAAAATGGCCTCAACTGTTAACCGTTAGCGACTCCCAATCGCCTATTCTCGTGGCTCAATCCGTTCGAGGGTCTGTCTCCCACCCAGAGGGCGAAGCGGGGCGAGGGTTCAGGTCCTGCCCGCACCTGCTATTTGTCACTGACTGGGGTGACCTGCGGCCGGTGGCAGAGGGCCGCTCAATGTCAGATGAGGTCGGAGGGCGAGCAGGATCGGACCGAGCATTACGGCTTGTTTGATGCTCGCCACAACATACTGCAGCTTGATTTGAACCCCGCGATTGGATGGTGGCGTCCTGGTTCGCGAAGAAAGCGCTGCGTAGCGTGACCCCTGATCAAAGAAATCTTCCAATCAGGGGGTTCGAACTGTTTTACCGAGTTGTGGTGAATAGGAACAAGAGACGGCAGCAAATCAACAAAATAGCACAACAAATTTCCTATCTTTTTGAGCGCGACACAATTACCATAGATCCGAGGAGGGAAACAAAGAGGCCACACTGAGTCACAGCATTTCACAGTTGAAACTCACGTTTTCGAACTGACTCGGTTGTCCCATAGCTAATCAAGTGTGTCAACATATTCTTCAGAAGTTACTAAAAGGAAACCATGCTGATTTCAACTCTACGGCGATCATTTCCGACACATTTGCTGTCCTGCACAATTTCAATATCACCAAACCCACCTGTATGACGACAATGTTCTTGAACACGTGGTTCATGCTCCAGTGGCCGAGCTCATGGCTGAGGACGGCCACCACCTCTTCATTGCTGCAACCCTTCTTCCTGCCAGTCCTCTCGCCGCTCTCGTCCTTCGCGGACTTGGGCTTCTCGTCCTTTGCGGACTCGGGCTTCGCGTCCTTCTCCTCCATGTCCTTCTCCTTCTTCTCGTCCGTGTCATTCTCGGTTTTCTCCCAGTCCTCCAGTAGGGTGTCGAACAGCACTATGCGCTTGTTGTTGAAGAAGCCGTAGAAGTAAGCATTGCTGTGCGCCGATCGCTTCGAGCCTAAACCGCGCAAGGTAATGGTGATCATGTGAGTGGCCGAATACCAGCCTGCAAGGTGAGATTAGGCAGCTCCCCCACTGAGGACATTCGAGAGAAATACAACAAGCCAGCTGCACCAACCAAGCCAACTCACATCGCCTCCAGTTACCAGCTATGAAGAATGATGCTGATATGCTGAATATGCTGATCGCAGTAAGATATGCTGCAAATGCCCGACCTGCTCCAAAAGACTATCGATCCAGCGCATCCTGAATTAATCTGCATAAAGGCGCAGCAGCACCACTTGTTTCCAAGGCGTCAGTGCCACTTCAGAGAGACTCTCGCAGCAGTCGACCACCCCCCCCCCCCCCTCCCTCTTCCCCTTGGCGGCGCGGCCCACCTTCCACCACGTAGAGCTTCTTGAGCGGGAAGTGCAGCCGGGCGGCCAGAGCCTCAATCATCTCACGCAGCTCGCCCTCCGGCAGCGGCGTGTACTTGTCGAACAGAGGCGCGATGAACTCGGGGTAAATGGTCATCAGGAACATTAGCACCACGAAGCAAAACAGCCAGAGATAGAGGAAGAAGTAGTCGCCACCAGCCTTGACGATATAGACGATCATTGCCACGATCGGCAGACTGATCAGCTGGTTGACCAGGAACGCCTTCAGCTTGTCCTTGGCGAAGAATCCCAGCGTCTGCCGAGCAAGTGAAGGATATCGTACTACAGCGTTAATCAACGCTTAACTTAGCGTTATAAAGGACTGAGCTTAGATCGAAAATCGGGTGTGTAGTTAAGCTTCGTGCGTGGAGGTTTCACTTTACATATCATAGATACGACCCACGTAAATCCAAAAGTTTTGCTACGTCTGAATGTCAATAAGACTAAGCGACACTCTTTGGCCGCCGAATGAACACAAAACATGACTGCGATGTCGTCGGCAACGCATCGATGTCACACACGGCCGATAGCAGCCAACAACTTCCCGTGTCACGTCGACAATCGATACGCAAAGAGGCGGCCAGAAATCCCCAGATAGCGCGAGACGCGGTCCTCATAGTTTTCCACCGCTCCACTGCAAGTGGGGGCGACCGCTGCAACATCGCGCCGCCCCCGCTCGCTCACGTATCTCAGGTGCCGGTCGAGTGGTGGTGACACCACACGGAAAACCCCGCCCCTGCGGTGTAGCGCCGTCTGTTGGGCCGCCCGCGTGACGTCACGTGGCCGGCGCTCTCCGTCACACACGTGTTTCGGCAGGATTGTGGACCGGGACACGTTCGCACCTGCAGCGCCGGGCGCGCGGGTCAGGACGGCGGAGCGCGCCGCTGGCGGCCGGCCGGCGCACCTGTTTGTTGAAGCCGTGCCGCTGCTCGACGGCGAAGGTGGAGTAGAGGCTCCAGGGAAGGCCGATGACGGTCGAGAGCAAGCTGGAGTACAGCATGAACACCATGCTCTGCTTGATCTCGCCGTCGTACTCCGCCCAGCGCAGGGTGTGCGCCGACAGGCTCCAGACCAGCGGCAGCACGTTCAACAGCAGGAAACTCTGCACGACACGGCTAGCTGGTCACGGTGGTAACGGGGGCTGCGCCCTCAGCGCCGGGCCAGCTACAGCGCTCGTGACGCGGGGCGGGGGCGTGACCTCGGTACTCGACAGGCACGTTGGCAACGCCTCTCACTCAGCGTTGTCAGAGCGTCATGGTCGAGTCAGGTTATCTATCCGCACATGGGACCGCTACGGTCAGCACGGTCGCAGGTTTGGTCGCCGGTTATCGCAGCGTGGTCCAAGTACCGATATGTCCCAATGGGAAACCGTCTGGCTCAGGGGAAAACACGTGAAGTTGCTAGCTATTATCGTGTTTGGCTGTGATGCGGGGCACGAGGAATGGAGGGGACGGGAGCGCTGAACCCCCAACTTTTTGAAGATTTCACATTGGACGCAGGGGTGTTGACTGGAAAGGGGCAATGTGTAGTCACATGGCGTCAGCGTCAAACACGAGGAAAATACTTCCGTGGATGGCTCTGGCTGTCCATATTTTTTTCTAACAACTGCGCGTAATGCACTGCATGGTCAGTAAAGTACACTTTCAGCAGGAGAATGGCATGTGGGTGGGTCGCAGCAGACTGCGCTGGGAATGGTCAAAATACATAACTTCTGGGAGGCCAACGCTAGGGAAGTTCAGTGAACAAGACGCACGCCGTCCGGGTCGGGGTGAATTCGACCTCTGTGACCCCGAATAACATCCGAACGGTACAGTGTACCAACGCCGAATTTAGAATGACCGTGGACAGTTTAATGACCGATCTTGTCACGTAAAAAGATTATACACGTATATAAATAAGTGTATATATCTAATGTATATATATATATATGTATATATATATATATATATATATATATATATATATATATACACACATTCCGTGTCACCGCCTCGTTGCGGGTCAAGACAATTCTTAGGGCAGTGGATTCCCAAACACCGTTAGGCGCGTCGAGGGCGCGCGAGATTTCTTGCATAGCGGCAGAAGGCATCTCATGTTCTTGATCTGTTTAGTTTGACGCGTGTCTAACTCGATTTTTAGCAGTGAACATTTAGGCTGTGAGTCATGAGTACCGTTACGAAACGTCGAGCTTTGTTGTAAAACGAGTTTGTTGACGCCAACGTCAACGTCAACACAAGGTTGACGGAGTCGCTGAGCCTTACTTTCGGTATCCATTCATACGCTACCACACTGGTGGTTGACCTCGGTCAATCAGCGCTCGTTGGTGTTCTCACCGGGGCTTTGCCATACAACCGGCTGCTGGAGCTACATAGTGTCGCCCGCCTCCCACTCTGGCAGGAAAATCGGGCACTGCAAGGAAGCGAGCCCAGTACCTCTAGTTTTCCCGACGTGCAGCACCACTACCGGCATCCCCACTCGGCACTCATCCCGCCCTCTGGCGTGCGAGCCCGAGCCGGGAAGAGGACCGCAGTGCTGCACCTCGGCCATGCGACCCCTGACCGGCCGGCGGGTCCAGCAGAGATGCTGTAGGACGCAGTGTCCCGTCTGGTGGCGAAGAGCCTACGTGGTCTATTTAAGATTGATCCGTGGGCTCTGCGGCTTATGTGTCACTGTTTGCTCCGGCTGCTTTTGAGTTGAACCTCTAGCAGCGCAGTGTTTTTGGTGGACTGCACGCATTGTGTTGCTCCCACAAATGAGTTGCACTCACGTGAGGCGGAAATTGTGTTAGAGCTTGTCCAACGATTAATCGCAGATGAAAACATTGATACCCACGACACAAGTCAGTTCGACTGGTGATGTCGAAGCCAACCACAGCAATCTAAAATAGTTACTTCGTCTTATAATGTGCTTTATTACGCTGCTTCGCCAGTTATCCCAGCTAACACATAATGCGCAATCCTAGCCAATGAAATAAGACCAAGAGGACCTGACCACGTGAGTTTAACCCATGGCGGGGAGACGTCACGGCGCGTGCGAACTCACCGTGCTCAGAATGATCTCAAAGAGATTGTGACAGGACTCGAACAAGCTTTTGTCGATATTGTATAAGCGGGCCTTCTCGAACGTCTCACTTGAGATCGCGCCATCCAAATCCGCCGGCACTTTCTGCGCGGTCTGCAGTACTTTTCTCTGGAACAACAATGGACGGTTAGGCGCCAGATTCAGTGTTTCGGCAGAGCCATCTATTGGGAAAAAAGAGACTGCATTTCCACTCCCATTTGATAGGGGGCACCTTACGCGATAACATGAACAGAGAGGATTGACAGGGGTGTGAAGTACCAGTGTGCTGACACATTCGAGATATTGTTGCCCATGTTCGTATTTATCAGTTCATTTCACACTTTAAGCGGCGCTGGTGATTAGCGGCACAGCCCAGAAGCATAAACCAGGTTAATGCTTGATAGTGGGGGTAGAGAATCAAGTCCCCATTTGATCTCCCACATGCTGCATTGTTTAAAACGCCATCGTTTCAAACTGTCGTCCAAAAGCCTGAGACAACAGCAGTGGTGCCATGTCTCTTCAGCCTCATATGTGAAAGGGACCATTGATACCTCTAGCCCAAACCATGCATTTGAGCACTTGGCTCACAAAAACCAATCAGAACCAGGAAAAGTGACCTAACAATGAGCAAATAAGCTGGTAGAATATGCCCACTGTACATGTTTCTACCAACTGCCAGCAGAACAAGAAAGAAACATTGTGCTGTACAGCCAACATACCTGTCTGGAAGCAAGGTACTCTTCCCATAGAAAGATGGCCACGGCAAAAACGATGATGGCATACAATATGGAGAGATCCGAGACAGTCCTCAGGTACCGAAACACCGACGTGTCGGCGAGCCAGGTGATCACGGACAGCATGGCGATGCGACGCAATGGATGGCGTGTTGCTGACTGGCCCCCTTCTTGGGCTGTGTGCTTGAACTTGCACCTGCTTCCGAAACTCAACCTTCTTCCACGCCCCCAACCAATGCTTTATACACTGTTGAACCTGGAACACAAGAACACAAGGGTGTAGGACCATCTACAATTGGAGGGGTTTGAGTCCCTTTCCACAGCTTGCACCTTGGCCATCCCCACCTTTGACATCATACTCAGTGAGCATTTCCGCAAAACATGCATGAATAGATTGGAAACTAGCATTTAATTTTGCTTGATGTGATAAAATAGAGAAACCAGATCTGAACATATTTGAGGTCCCATAGGTCTGTGCAGGGGTGTAGCCATGAGACCAGAGGCCAAGCTCCTCATATTCCATAAGCCAGATCTTTTCTCTTTTGGTTGCCATAACATGCTCCTGACAGAAAGTAAGAAATTGGTGTGATGGATAATCACTGGGACCACTCTAACAAAAATTGGTGCTACATCCTATGTTTATCAACACAGAGCTGGGGCAAAGTCTGTAATCAATTGTGACCTTAGCCACCACTAGGGAGACAAATCTCAATTCCCAGGAGCAGAATGTATAGTACCTGTTTTAGGTTATAATGATAATGCCTGCATCAGTCTGCTGAGCACATTCTAGAGATTGCTCCCAAACACTTATCACATGCTTGCAATGGCACTGCTGTGATTTTTACAAAATTAAGACAAATTATGGAAAATGATTGGCATAACTTCCATGAGACATATATGTGCAATAAGTCAACTTGTGTCTTAGCAGCTTTGTTCATGATACTACTTTCAGGCTGGTGGTAGCTGTATGGTAAGGCCAATTGGGTAAATGACTGGGGAGAGTGGGGCTGGGAGCCCAACAACCTTGTCTTCCCTGAAACGTTCTGGTTAAAACCGAATGCATTGGTGTGCAGTTTATTGAGTGTTTTATGGTGTTATTTTAACTGATTTAGCCTCATTTATTTCTAGTCAAAATTGTCATTTTTGTATCAATTAATAAATAGTCCTCTGATTGACCTGAGATATGACACCGCGCACACACACACTTAGGAGCAGAGTAGAAAATAGTCTTACAGAAATCACCGAATGTGGGGAAAACAACGGTCAACCTACCTCCAAATGCCTCTATCACGCCCGCAACCAACTCACGTAAGCACCCTGACAGCCGGCGACACGAAGCGATTGTATTAGTTCAGCGATGTATTCTGTCACGGCTGCGCTGTAAATGAAACTCGATAGAAGGGAATGCGGCGTCAGTGTAGCGAGATCGTGCAAAACAAACTCTTCTTGATACACAACCATTTTCAGTATAAATGAAGAATCAAAATATTTTTACCATCTTATGACTTCATATGGACATTCCTATTGCCAGCATCTTATCTTGGTTGGAGCGAACATTTCCTGATGAACTTTGTGCATGCGTCCACGACGCAACCGGGACGAATATCAAATTTAGCTGGGTAGGAATTTCGTTGCGCGCTAGCGCATAGGGCACGTATAAATCAACTTTAAATTTTGTGAGGTGAGTGGTGGAGGTGCATGGTCGTAGGGGAATCTGAGTGGTTTTGGTTGCTTGTGATGGTTTCACAAATCAATCGCGTATTATCACATTGATGATTAATCTGCGCTGAGAGGCAAGATTCGTGCTGTTTACAACGGCTCCCATTGTGCATATAAATTACAGTCAGGTGAGTCAGTTAAGGGAACGTAGCTGGCTGGACTACAAAATTACATGCTACCCTGAACATCGTCAGCATAGTATGAAAGATCTACACAAATGTACTGCATAGTACTGTGTATTATATATACTGTGAAATGTACTGTACTTGTACTGCATAGATTTAAGTGCCTTTTTTGTAGATGTTCACCATTAATGCCATAGCATAGGAAGCTCATGCTGCAAGAAACTAGGATGTTTAAATGATAATTTCTGTTAAAAATATTTCTTCAATCATGTCTCAAAATACTGTTTCCAGGCACAATTGTTTGTAAATTCAGCACATGTTTAGCCTGAAATTATTACAGTGCACCCACGGACCCATACCGTGCTTTACTGAATGGAATTTCAAGTATCAGTGGCATCATCCAAGTTAGGTTAGGTTAGGTTAGGTTAGGTTAGGTTAGGTTAGGTTAGGTTAGGTTAGGTTAGGTTAGGTTAGGTTAGGTTAGGTTAGGTTAGGTTAGGTTAGGTTAGGTTAGGTTAGGTTAGGGTAGGGTAGGGTAGGTTAGGTTAGGTTAGGTTAGGTTAGGTTAGGTTAGGTTAGTTTTTGATATGTTCTGGACTATTCTGGCCTGTGTGTTTCATAAATGTACCTAAACTCGATAAGAAACTATTTTGGTTGCTCTATTATTGGTACCTTGGTCCCATACATGTTTTATGGTTCTTGGTAAGCAGATATATTGTGCTTTCGCAACAACGCAGAAACGGCGCTTGGGAGTCGAGGCGGTGCGGTGCGGTGTGTGCGGCGCTCCGGAGCTCGCTATCGTATTTATTATAAGTTGAGGGTAGGAGCATGATTCTATCTGTTTTGAAATTATTTACGATATGTTCCGCCTTAAACACGACAAATGGTTTACCTTGGTCCCGTACATTTTGTAGAGTTCTTGGTAAGCAGAAATATTGTATTTACGCAATGGCAACGCAGAAACGGCGCTGGGGAGTCCAGGCGGTGCAGTGCGCGCGGCGCTCGGGAGATCGCCATCGAAGGTATTGAAATTCCAAGGTGGAAGCATGATTCTACCTGTTTTGAGATGATTTACGATATGTGCCGCCTTAAACACGACGAATGGTGTGCAATGATTTTTTCTAACGGTAGGTAGGAAAGTACACCTACACTGGTGTCATGTAGTGGCTGACGTTTCTGGAGACTGGATGGCATGGTTACTAGTATGGCCATATGTATAACACTAATTCATAAATGCTTATCTGTATGTTTGCTCATATTCCTTCAGCCATATGCATAGCCATGCTGGATGGATGAAGTCTTATCATACTCCAGCACATATTTCCAGCACACAAAATGAGTTGTGGCCGTTAATTGCTACCCTGTATCATGCTGAAACAGATCAACTGGGCTGATGCTCCATTTGCCTGAAACAATTATTTATGCTATGAGCATATCTCCTCACCATGTGTGCTAGAACATGCTAAGCAGTTTTTCCCTGGGCTCTATGGCCATTTGGTCTGATTTCATGCTAGAAAGTCATGACATGGATTGAAAGAAAGAAAGGAAAAGGATAGAAAGTCAAGGCACGATGCAACTTGGTTACCCTCCTTTGGTCTCGACAATACATTAGCCATCCACTCACATTCACCATATTCAGGGTGGGGCCTAATTCAATTTTTTGAACAACAGGGGCACAATCCTGATATGTAATGCCACCACTCAAATTTTGGTCCACACAAGTCTGAAAGTGTTCCCACCATCAGCTACCTTCATACCCTGTCCTCCTGTGATGTATTTACTGCATGGCCATCTGCTCTTGATGGGCAGAAAAACTAATCTTTTTTACTATCATGATGTGTAGATGTTTGGTTAACTCACTGAAGATGCAGGGCCTCACCATTATTGCTGTTGGAAAAGAGTATCCATATATGTGCCCACCTTTCCACAGCAGTAAGCACTTTTGCAGAGCATTCCTGTCAGAATTTAGCAGATCTTTGTAATTTCTTAGCTTTTATCATCCACATAGGGCTTAACTCTACCAGCCATATTTGGCAGATTATTGAAATATGCCAGAAACAAGACTGGCTCTGATGCAAACCTGTTGGGGACACCACTGATGGCTTCTGCCGCACCAGAATGATTAACCCCCCACCACATCGCTCTGTTGATAGCTGCCGATGAAAACTGTGATCCACATAAAGCTTTTGCCATTAACTTCAAGTTTCTCAAGCTTTATGAGCAGCCTGTGATGGGGAACATTGTCAAAGGCTTTTCTGAAATCCATGTAAATGGAATCCACTAGCTCGCAATGGTCTAAGACCATTGCAGTGACCATTCATCAAGCATGGGCAAGAGCTGGATCGCACAAGACCCCCACCCTCCCGCAGACGCTAGAGGGCAATGAAGAAGTTCATTTTGGAAAAGATGTCAAGATGGCCCTGTTGTATAAATGATCCCATGATTTTGGATGCAAGTTTGGTAAAACCAACATGCTTGTGGTTACTTAGTTCCACTCTGTCCCCCTTTCTTGAAAAGACAGGATATGGGCTTCTTTTCATTCGGTGGTTCAAGACAGTGTTCCATGTTTGTATGGGGTTTTGAAATGGAATAGCCATCGTGAAGATCGCTCTTTACAGTTCATAGCACTACTGTTTGTAAGACTTATACCCCTCTAGTTTTTAAGCTATACACCAGCAAAGATGTGCAGACTATTTGAGAAAGATTATTTTAAAGTCACACGGGCGTCCGTGACGCCATAATAACGTCGTTCATACCTTGCCATTCCATTAGTCATGCGGCGATCAAGGCTAATCAAAATATAGTTGTGTTCCCATTCATATCTAGGGTTCGTGAGCACGATTTCCAGTTAAAACGGCCGTCAATTGGCTTTCAATCGGTGTTTTGCAAGGTCCGATGACGTAATCGAACAATGACACTTTGAAAAACATATTTACTAAACAGAGAAGTTGTGTTGTCTGGAGCAGTTTTTCACTAACAAATGTGCCCAATAGTTGTGTATATAGTTAGTATCCAATAGTTATATCACTTATAGTTTAGGGAGCTTATTTCATCATACGTGATGCTTACTCTTCAATGCCTTCAAATGCAGAACATTCCATTTAAGTTTGGCATGTGTTTTCTCTTCTCCCACCCTTGCTTTGGCTCCATGTGTTCTTGCATCTTCTCGGCTCTACTACCCCCTTGCTTGTCCGTTGAAAACAATACCGCCTGCTGTTGAATAATCAATGTTTCACATTGTTAATGCGTTCAATATGCTGAGAGCGTTTTCCAATGGATCCCAAACCAATATTATCATTGCATGTTGCGAACTGGTGTGTAACCAATGATTGGTTTGCTTGGGGTAGCCTTATTGCTAAATAAAAAGAGCAAGAAAGCTCCTATTTGGAGGCGCATACATGACCCTTGCCTGGCAAATGTACTAAACGCTGCTGTGGCATACGTCACCTCATTTCTGTAACGTTGGGGTTAGAATTCATAGAACTCATCCATTATGTGATCTCAGCCTTTGCAAACTATTCTTGAAACGTAACACGCTGTGTAGGCAGGCATTCGAATACAACATCATGTTTACCTCGAATGGCAACTTCTGTGATGATCATACAGTTATCTTTAGTTTTATTTCGTTTGATGTCACGATTTTATTCAGTATTACGTTTGTCTCGCATAATTTTGGTCGCCAATGTCACACATTCCACTCGTCACTGACCAATGCTAGTTACCCAAAAGGTTTTTTATATGTCCTAAACCGTGTGAAGCTCCCGATGCTTCGACATTTCGAATGCCACTGGCGAAACCAGGCCGCGCGATGACAGTAATTGCCGTTGAGCGAGATTCATATTGGCATTGCTTACGAACAGCAATTATTTTTGGAAATGAAATAGGGCTGTGAAAAGAGAAACGATGCCTCTAATCCTTGTTTGTATGTGTTCTTAAATAGTAAGCATTTATGCAATAGGTGCATTTCTTTTTTGTTAACATTACAGTTTGAGCTGATGCACGTCGTAACTGACGTGACAGGCGGGCTCTGGTTTCGGAACGTAACTCCCATTGCGCTGTTCCAGATCGCGTTCCGGCAAGTCTGCCGCGCCGAAACAGCTGTCCTCCGGCGGGCCGAGGAGAGTGCCAGGCACCGGCGCCGTGCCGGGGCGCCAGAGTGGCCGACATGGCCCAGCCGATCCCTCTAGAGCACTACCTGGACAGCCTGGAGAGTCTGCCGGCTGAGCTGCGGCGCAACTTCACGCTGATGCGGGACCTGGACGAGCGGTCGCACGGCCTCTCGCGCACGCTGGAGCGCGAGTCAGGACGAGTACCGGGCGGCAGCTGGCGGCCTGGGGCCTGACGGTCGCCGTCGCCTGCTCGCCCAGGTGGAGCGGCTCTTCACCAAGCTGCGCGAGTTCGCCGACGACAAGGTGCAGCTCGCCATCCAGACGTACGAGCTGGTGGACAAGCACATTCGCCGGCTGGACTCGGACCTGGCGCGCTTCGAGTCGGAGATCAAGCAGAAGGCGCTGGGTCAGCGCACCGGCGCGGCCGCCGACGAGAAGAAGGCCGTCAAGCGGAAGGCGGATAGCACACAGCGCAAGCGGCGGGGTTCCGACGACGACGACGACGACGACGACGACTCGCCGCCACAGAAGAAGCGCGCCAAGAAGGCGGCGGCGAGTCAGCTGGCGCTGCCCATCACGCACCCGTCGGACGTGCTGGACATGCCGGTGGACCCGAACGAACCCACGTACTGCCTCTGTCACCAGGTGTCTTACGGAGAGATGATTGGCTGCGACAACCTCGACTGCCCCATCGAGTGGTTCCACTTTGCCTGTGTCGGACTCTCCACCAAGCCCAAGGGCAAGTGGTTCTGTCCAAAGTGCAACCAGGACAGAAAGAAGAAGTGAGCGTCTGGAAAGGATGGTGTGCGCGTTTCCGTGACGGGTGTTTGCCGCGGGCATGTCGTATTTTATATGTTTAGGCTGACATGAGCTAACTGATCATCGATAACGGCCGACTTTATAGAAGAGTCGCGTAATCTCACATCGGCACGCCTCTTACATTTGTATTGTCGCTTTCTCCATTGGTCTCACTGTGGCTCAGATTCGCTTCCGCCGACAATGCGAACATGTCGGCAATGCTGTTTGTCGTCGGTACGCTGTCCGTGTGTTGCCAAGGGCCACCATTGATGGCACATTTTTGTAGCTAGTCGTCAGCACTTGTTGATTGTTCCGCCAGTGAGTTGCTTTTCACATGATGCACCAGTGTTCTACCTGTCTGTCTCAATATGCGCCTCTCTTGATCCATTAACCAGGTTTGTAATTTTCGAGCCGTTTTGTGAGCTATCGCGTCCCACTGGTTGCCGTGCGCAGATTCGCGACCTGCTGCCTCGGCCCATTTCCTCATTGTGCGCCGATTTGCTGTTTGGTTCTTCGACAGCCCTCCCGAAGCGATTTACATCGTCACGTTTGCAGTGTGTGGAGCATTTCGTCGCCAGTTCAAAGCCTATGGGTGCTCTGTGTGATCGCTGCGGGGACCAGGCACGCGACTGGCAGAGTCGCACCCGCCCCCGGCTGACTCGGTTGTTAGCAGGGGCGCGCGTAGCGCGCTGCACCGCCTGGACGCCACTGTGCGGTTTCAGATGACCCGAGCAGGGTAGCATGTGTGTACTGATCTGCTTTTGATACAGAATTATAGAATGTCAAATTATGACGGTGTGGTGTTTCTGTAGCGCGGCGTTATTTTGTCGTGACAAAACTGAGCTGACCCTTTGACGCATGGCTTTAAAGGTGGAAGCAAGCTGCTAAGACGACCCACGTTGGCTCATCTTTGGAGATAATGCACCTTGAACAACAGAGATCTTTGAATAGGCGTTCTGAAGCGGCGTCTGTGCGGATGATTCGTTAGATGCTTCCGACACGGTTTCAAGGGTCATTAGGCGTTGCTGTGGGGCGCTATATGATGCTGACAGTGCGCCAGACTTATTCTCTCCCGCTGTCCTGCGCTGTTTAAGCCAGCGGCGGGACGCTTCAGCATGGGCGCCAAATGACCGCCGCAGTCGGCGCGCCCGTAAACTCCAATAAACAACAAAAAGGACACGTCGGTGCGCTTGAGGTCAAATAATGCAAGTTGAAAACGGAAGCCTTTCGCTCACTGGTGTACATGAACAGGAAATATCAGCAAATTCACTGGGTACGCAGCCGACGCATCCCACTGACAACGACACTGATGTGATAAATGCACTCGTCACGTTTGTCGCTTCGGATATGTTGTTGGCATGGCTCTGATTCCTGCTGGTTGTTAGATACGGGGCTGGCGGACACCCATGATGCGCTTTTTATTGCGCTCATTGCTGGCCATTTTAGTCTTCCAACCAGTTTGAATGAACATTTGTAATGATAACAAATTGACATCAAACATAACATTGAGGCAGAATTATGAATACTGCCACATTACAAGCGGACGATAAATGACTGGAGGCACCCACTGTCAGCAAGCAGCCAGACCGCCGAGAAGGCGGTATTGAGAAGTCGAAGGACCATAACAGCCAGTAATGATGGAGCGTGCGCCCACCGTCGCTAGAATTACTTGTTTGTTGGCATGAAGCCCTGTTTTGCTGCTTCGCAGGGCGGATGTTTTGTCCTGTCCGACAGTTGTCAGGTTAGATAACGACCTACCACTATTTATAACAATACGGTCGTGGTTGTCGTCAGGCGAGTATGTTGGCAGCCGTGTTATCCGTCCGACATGACGTGGGATGAGATGCTGGCTATCCGGCTATCATCTGTCTCGCCCACCTGGGCCAGGGGTGTCGGGTGGCCCGGACACTCCCCGTATGGACTGATGGCACGTCGACGCTGTCCCACGCGTGGCCAAGACAGACACCGGCGAGGCTCGGGCCCGGTAATGAACCCTCAAGCCAACACGCAATGTCAGAGGCGGCGTTGCGCGAGTGCAAGTACTGTTGAATGAGGGACTGGGGCTGGGGTGGCTCCAGTGGCGGTCAGTGATGGAATGGAGCAACAGAAGCACTGTGACACGAGCACAAACGTGGAGTAGTTCGCGAGACGGATGAGGTCGGTGGCCTCGGAACGGCTGTGCGATGCCGAACAATGTTAGAATGTCATGAGCTCTGTCCTAAGCCAGAAGTGTTGTCAACTAGCGTCAGTTGGAGGCTGCCCATTGCGCCTGCTGGCCAGGCAATGTATATAACACTAACTGGAAGGCGGAATTTAAGATGGAGCTCATTGCTGGTGGCATGTGAAAGCGCACACAGATGGGGCAAACCCCTGTAACCCCAGGCGCTCAAGACGCGCACCAGCGCCCACTGGGCGGCTGTGGGGCGGACTGATCTCACCGCTGCCAGATCGTGCGTGCGCGCGGCCCGGTCGCCGGCGCGCCTCGCGGCCCGTCACGCGCTCGCGGCGTCGCGCCGGCGCGAGCCGCGGCAGGCGGCGGCCAGGCCGGAAGGCCGGTCGGCTTGGAGGCGGGGCGGGCCTCGCCGCTCTCCGGTGCCGCCGTCCGCCAGACGGCCTGCTCACTCCCCGCCGCAGCGGTTGTTAGCATGTACAAGCCGGTGTGCCGACACATTCTGGGGCCATCGTGGTGCCTGCGGCTGCGAGTGGTACATTGACAAATTATGTAATAATTGTGTGGGTGCATGTCTACATGTCGTGCGCTTATTTGGGAGCAGGTACAATACAAACGAGGAGAATATAGGGCTGGTTCACGCCAACGCGTCCGTCTGGCCCTATTTGCCGTGGCCGAGACAGTGTCGTGCCCCCGTCCATGTCCGATCCCAGAAATCGGGCGTAGACAGAACCCTGTCCGGTCTTATGTGCGGTGCTGTCTGAGACCGGACATAGGCAAAATCATGCCCAGTCGTATTTCCGGTCCACTCCAAGACCGCACGAACGCAGAATCCTGTCTGGCCTTTTATGCGATCCTCTCCGAGACCGCACATAGGCGAAACCTTGTCCGGTTGTCTGCCCGATCTCTCCGAGACCGCACATAGGCAGAACCCTGTCCGGTTGTATGTCCGATCCATTTCGGATATCCAACCGGACATAGGCAAAACAAAAAACTATGCCCGGTCTTATGAGCGGTGCTCTCTGCGAGTGGAGTTAGGCAGAACCCTGTCCGGTCTCATGTGCGGTGCTCTCTGAGACTGGACCTAGGCAGAAGCCTGTCCGGTCTTATGTCTGGTCTTCCAAAAGACCGGACATGAGCAGGGCGAGACTGTACCTCGCCTGCGGACCGGCGCTCTCCGTGCCCGGCGGCCCGGGCCCCGGCCTCGTCGCGTGGCGGTGACCGGCTTTGTCTCGGTGCGCCGGCCGCGGGGGCGGGAGAGAGCCGCCACCCGCTCACAAAAACGTCGACGCTTGAGCAGGCGGCGCTGGCGGCCGACGCGCCTTATTTAGCGGCGCTGGCCCACGCTTGGGGTACACGGCTGTCATTAGAGCTGCCCTCGCATTGAGCCGCGTGACCGTGTTGGACGTGCTCGGCCCCGGAGCCGACCTCCGTCTCGGGCCGACCCGACTCCGTCTCCGACCCGCCTGCCTGCCAGCCCCACTGACCTGTTGCAAGAAGCACAGCGCGCCAGAATAATGAAACGGCGATTCAATAGGCGCACCGCGAGCGGCGGCGCCCTGCTGGGGCTTTGCATAAATCGGCGCGGCATCTCGGCGGACGACTTCAGACGGCGGGCGATGGACGCCCGGCCTCAGCGACGACCTGGGAGGCACGATTAACTGCTGCGAGGGAGGGCTGATTTATCGAGCCCGTGTTCTACCGCATTAACGGATGGTGCGGCGGCCGGCGCGCGGTAACTTGCTGAGCGGCTCATCCCTCGGCTGGTCATCGCATGGACGCGGCATGGACGTAAGGCTCTGTTCTGTCGCAACTGTAGCGGAGAACGGACTGGGAGCAGCACCTTTCAGTTCCCACTAAACCGCGTGGGTTTGCCTATTGGGACGGGCCGGGGTGACGATTATCCAATAATTCACCAAAAATGGCTTATCACCGCCTTAATTATAAATTACAATAAGCCCCAAAAATTGGTGATAAGATGTAATCCGAACCTTAACGTATGGATGGATTTCTGTGATGAGAGTCACGCTTAGTAGTTCTTGTCCTGTGAGCCGAGATCCCTACCATTCGATCGTGCAATTCCAGGTCAACGACATAATTTGGCGGCGAAAGTTAAATGTGCCCTAATTTTCGGCACGGTACGTCTTACCACTTGTCCTCAACTGACCTTTAGCGCGATCGTTGTCACCGGCCGCAGGCCATATCTGTCACGGGCAAATAGCGAGCGCCTAAAACGACTCGAACCCACCTCGCCGAGGGTGGGTGAATCAGAAAGAACTTACCAACGGCTCTCTCGGGATGGACAAATGATATCAAGATGTGAAATACATCACATAAGGCAATCACGTTAATGTATTAAAATAACAAGCAATCACAAGTGGGTTACAAGCAGTGCTGGATTGATTAAGCGGTGACAAATAATGCATCGTCCAGATAGGTGTATTTTGCGCACCTGTTGATTAATGAGACATTTTCACAAATATTCGTCACACGATTTTTTACGCGAGCATTTGTATTGCTTCAAAACGAATTTTAAGAGTGAGAGTGGCATCTAATTGCTACAACCGATTAATTGTATTATTGTTATTCACCGGCCACTCATGTTTCTCCTATGGTAATTCAGCGGGTGATCCTTCTCTATGCACCAACAATGCCTTAAAACGCTAAGATTACAAATGCTTCTCATCTTTCAAGCGTTGAAAGGGCGATACTGTTCCATGTAAGGAAGACGTTCATGAAAAAATCATCCTTGCGCACCGGAATTTGTGGTTTCGTTACCTATACTCGTTACTTTGGATGCATATACGTGCATAAACATCCAATACAAACGGAAACATGTCACAAGTACTGTATTGCCTCCGCGGTGTCTATGCTTGTCCTCTCGGTTTTGGTTGCTAATGTTTGGCTGACATGCCTGTGGCGCCCATGCCGGCTGTAGCACGCTAAGTCAGCGAGCGTGCCCTCGCTCATATTTTTGGGTCATGACGTGGGTGCATCAGCGTTGTGACATTGTGCATAAAAAACGTTAGACAACATGGTAAGCTAAAAAAATAGGTTGTTGATGATAATTACAACTGGGCTGGTACGAGGGGAATGTTGCACGAAATTAGTTGTCACGAAGTACCCCGGTTATTTTATGAATGGGCTAGGTGACTCTCAATGCTCACAATGTCCTCACGTGCTGGGTTATGTTCATATTAATCGCATCCTGCGTCTCCAGGAAAACGGACCGCAGTCGGGAATGTTGGCGAGAGTGCTAAAAACGAAATGTTTTCTGAGCCGAGTGTGTCCAAGTGAACCGGACAAGTGGAATTTTTAGATGGGACTCGTTTAATATCCTGTCCACTGGGTAGAACGGTGTAGCCAATAAGACAACGGCAGAATCTTCAGCTAGCGAGACATGTACAGGTTACGCAGACTTCATGATATCGAGACAAGATGTGACCGTTTCCCCGAAACGTGCTCTGCAGGCAGCACGACAGCGCGGCAGCTCGGCCCACTGGGCGAGCCTTGCCTAACATATGGGTCAGAATCACTGGTCACGAACGTCACATTTCATATTTCCTCATTTTTTTCTCATTTTTCCTCATCACATTTCCTCATTTTTCATTTCCGGTCACATT